GGGCTTTGCTGAGGCTGTGGGGTTTTTATTGTCAGTTTTAGATTTTTGTTGTTGCTGTTTTTTTCTTTTTTTAATCAAAGATTATGTGTAAATTGGTTTTAAAAAGCCAAAGAAGAGGCATCTGGGTGGCTGAGTCAGTGAAGCCTCGAACTCTTGGTTTCTGCTCAGGTCATGATCTCAGCGTGGTGAGATCGAACCCCACATGCACTCTGTGCTCAGCGCAAGTTGGCTTGAGATTCTCTCCCTCTCCCTCTGGTCTTCCCTCTGCTCACACTCACTTGCTCACTTGTGCTCATGCTCTCTCTCTCTCTCTCAAATAAATAAATAAAATCTTTTTTTAAAAAGCCAAATAGGACAAAAAGGCTTATAACCAATAGTCTCTTGTCCACATTATCCTCCTCATCCTTTTCCCCAGAAGCAATGTCTTTTAATTATTTTACTGTTTCTTCTCCATATTTCCAAATAATAGGTACAATATAATCCTTTTACTTGACTCAGTAGCTTTTGACTTTTTCCTATGGTGGATTAGGATATTAATTCAATCATACCATCTCTTCCCTTCCATTATTCTCCAAATATAGTATATCTTACTTTTTTAGATTATATCTATGTTCACTGTTTCCATTATTATGTCTATATATTATTTAAGTAACCTACTGTGTCAAGTAAAATACTGTGATTATACTTAATATTTTGTGCAACTATCTGTTTTTTCTGGAATAATTGTCTTTTTTTTTTTTTTTTTTAATTTGCTTCGTTTCCTTTGACCAGCTGACTAAATTTCCCACACTCTCCAACAGCTCTGTAAAATGTCTCTTTCAAAGACAGTTTTCCACATTGGGGAACTGTCAGATTATTCTCAGATTCATCTTTTTTGTGTTGGATCCTGTTTGTGAATTCCATCCTTCCTCTTGGTTTTTTTTCCTATTTTAGTGGAGCATATCCTCTGGTAACATCCACCAATCTTTGTTTCTATGCCAGAGTGCCTCTCTGGGCATTGTGGTTGCCTAAGGCACATTCTCCAGTGGCTTTCTCAGGAAGAACTCACAAGGCCAATGCCTTTTAAATTATGGTCATGACAGCAGGTCTCAGCTCTTCTATTTGAAGATAAGTTTAGCTGGAATAAAAACTCCTTAGCTTACATTTTCCTTCCTTGAATATCTTTATTATTTTCTTCCATTGTTTACTGGCATCATACATTGTTCTTGAACAGTCTGATGGAAACTGATTTCCTTTCCTAACACATGAATTATCTTCTAGCCCAGACACGCAAAGGATTTTCTTTCCTTCATTCTTTCAAATTCAGTATGTTTATTAGACTATATATCAGTGGTCACCTGTTTTGGGTCAGTTTTCCCAAATATTTTCCCTTTTAATCTGAGGCTTGAAATCATCTTTTACTTCAAGAAAGTTTTCTTGAATTACCAATTTTAGTTTTTGTTGTATCCATTTACTTGGTTTCCTTTTTTGAGGATTCCTATCATTTGTATATTAGGTCTTCTTTACTTATCCTTTTATCTGTCCCTTGCTCCCAAATCCTCTCTCTTCATTTCTGATTGATCCATATTTTTTTTCCTTTTCCTTATTCTGTTTCTCTAGAACAGTATCCATTGTGTTTGTCTTTTGTTTTCCTCCTAATTTTGTCATTTCTGAAATTTTTCTTTGATTTTTACTTCTTTTGTAAGTTATGCTATTTCTCATTTAATGTTCCTTTTCTCCAATTATCTCACTCATGGGTTTTTCTTATTCTGATTGCTGTTATTCTCTCATAATTTCTATCAATTTTCTTTATCTTGTTTTAAAATATTGGTTTATAATTGTCATCTGCTCTGTGGGTATATATATTTCATTGAATGAGGACATTATTCTACTTCTTAGTCTCCTTTTTAAAATAACTTTGTATTATTTCACTCACAACATTTTTCTGGTGCTCATTTGTCAAACAGATGAATTTTACTGAACTTTTAGGAAGCAGGGATGAGTTGGTAGCTTTTGTAGTTTCATAGCCTTAGAGTTCCTTCTTCGCTGTTTTAGAAGCGATAAGTGCACTGCCTTGAGCTTTCTGATATGTGCCTCCTCTGTGCCCCTCTTCCATTTCCAGAAAAATTTCTTGGTCCTTTGTGATTATTCTTTCTATTCTCAATTTGGATTCTACTCTCGTTAGTTTCTCCTCAATCCAAAACTTTGCCTCTTAATGGAGCTTTGGGTTTTCAGTTTCTAGACTTGGTAGAACCCAGACTACACTAAATGCTTTCCTGTTAATTACAGCCTTCAGCTCAAGTCACAGATGGAGCTCAGACTCTGCTACGGGAAGTCTAAACACTACTCTTTTCACCACGCCTCCCTGTAAGTCAGAACGGCATGGTGCTGGTTCCACTCTGTATCCTGTTCCACTCCCGGGGTTTCTTAACTATATGTCACTTTTAAAGGGGAAGTCTGAAAGGGAAAGTAACAAAAGCGTAATTTATGAATCTCCACATAAAACCTGAGAGAGCAACTATTACCCTTGAGTTTTAGGTTCTTACCAGTATTATTTCCAAAATGCAGCAACTCATTGGACCCACTGTTTTTGGATTTCTATACTAGTTGTTCTACCTGAGTACTTGAGTTTGAGGGGGCTCTGTGATCTTGGGCTTCTATAATCCACTATTTAACCATTTGTAAATAGTATAAATAACAATAGCCACAGAGTTATTGAAATGATAAGATGAGGTGATGTGGAATTTGAAGAGATGAAATTGCCTGTGATTTAACCTGATATGTAAAAATTTATAAACTGTAAAATGATGCAGCATTGCTAGCTATTTCAAAATAGATTTATGAAATATGTGAAAACCTATGGTTTTAACTGCACTGTTTTCACCTTATATGCTACGTATTTCTGTCTTTTCCCACCAGAATATAAGCTTCATAAGAGCAAAGATTTTTTCAAATTTTGTTTGCTACCTAATACAGTGCCTGGTACACCGTAAGCACTCAATAAATACGAAAATGGCTGGTATCCAAGGTCTATAAAGAACTTCTCAAACTCAACAACCAAAAAACAAGTAATCCAGTCAATAAAGGGGCAGAAGACATGAAGAGACACTTTTCCAAAGAAGACATTCAAATGGCTAACAGACACGTGAAAAAATGCTCAGCATCACTAGGCATCGGGGAAATACAAATCAAAACCACAATCAGATACCACCTTAACACCAGTTAGAATGGCAAAAATTAACAAGACAGTAAACAACAAATGTTGGCAAGGATGTGGAGAAAGGGGAACCCTCTTACACTGGTGGTGGGAATGCAAACTGGTGCAGCCACTCTGGAAAATAGTATGGAGGTTCCTCAAGAAGTTAAAAATAGAGCTACCCTATGACCCAGCAATTGCACTACAGGTGTTTATCCCAAAGATATAGATGTAGTGATAAGAAGGGGCACATGCACCCCAATGTTCATAGCAACAATGTCCACAACAGCCAAACTGGAAGGAGCCAAGATGCCCTTCAACAGATGAATGGATAAAGACGTGGATCATGACTTCAATGGAATATTACTCAGCCATCAGAAAGGATGAATACCCACCATTTGCAACCACATGGATGGGAACTGGAGGGGATTATGCCAAGTGAAATAAGTCAAGCAGAGAAAGACAATTATCATATGGTTTCACTCATATATGGAACATAAGGAATAGCATGGAGGACCACAAGGGAAGGGAGGGAAAACTGAATGGGAAGAAATCAGAGAAGGAGACAAACCATAAGAGACTCTGGACTTTGGGAACTGTACTGAGGGTTACAAAAGGGAGGGGGTGCAGGGATGGGTAACCGAGTGATGGGCATTAAGGAGGGCACGTGTTTTGATGAGCACTGGCTGTTACATGCAACTAATGAATCGCTGAACACTGCATCAAAAACTAATGATGTACTATATGTTGGTTAATTTAACATAATAAAAAAGGAATCAAATAAATAAATACTTGATGAACAAACTAATCATTTGTGCTAACTTTGCCTTAAAGCCTATCATGCAGGAGATAAAACAAATGGGCAAAAAGTCTTCTTTTTCTTATTCTTCAGCTGTTGTTGAATTAGGACTGTGTAACATGCTCTGCCAACCCATTTCCTTCACCATTTTAGTTTGCTTTGCATTCTTGCCTAAAAATAACACCCCCCCAACCCCTCCCACACCCACCACACACCACCCCCTCCCCACACTGTAGCATAGGGACTCCACGACACCCAGAGTGCCAGAAACAGCTGCTGCTGAAAACGTGGCAGCATTGGCTTCATGCCTCCATCCTCTGGTCCAAGACATAAAAAATTGGAAACAATGTGGAGAATAGCTGGGCAGAGAACAAGGAAGAGCATTGTCCTTCTCTCACTGATGTTTGGAGAAGTCAGGCAGTCTGTTTTTAAGTAAATAGACTTGCTCTGATGGAGCAATCTGTCGAAATAAGCTGGGCTGCTTAGAGGGGATGGGAAGTTGCAGCACCGCTTCCCTCTCCCCTGGGAGCTATTTATTTGCAAGGGATGACAAATGAGAGCAAGGCAGAAGCCTGCGGTAATGACACTCAAAGCGAGAAAAATAATGGCATAATGGCATGTGGCTTAGGATGGGCTCATCCTAACTCAGATGTATAGATGGGTTTTGTGTGTTTAAAGAGCTAGCCCTTCCATTTGCATCTCAAATGCTCCAGAGAAGGAGCAGACAAATGCAGAACCATCACCAGGTGGTTTCTAGTCAGTGGGTTTTGCAAGGAGGGAGAGGGGGCACAATGAGCAGATTAATGGTGAGAAGCTAAGTCTCTGCAGGTTGTCTCCCTCTTTACTAATGGAGGGGGGACAAACCAGAAGTTTGCTTTGTCACCACACAGTACTTGACAAAGGAGTACCATATTTACATCCAGAGTTATATGCAGCAGGGGGTGGGGTGCAGGGGGACGTGGAGGGGGACAATTACCAAATGCTCACATGAAAACTCATATTTTGGACTTTACCCACAATACTCACTGCTGGTGAAACAACACAGTGAAAGGGCCAGGTGTAGGTTAACTCTTTTAGTTTGTGCCAGAACCTTGAATTCTCTGGAAAGAAGAAAAGGATTTAATGTAAACTACAAATGCTTTAATCAAGTGGCTTTCTTCGCATACCATGAAAGCATTTTGAAACATTCAAATAAAAAAAAAAATTCCCTTATTTTCTGAAAATATAACCTCTTAAAACACCAAGGACGCTGCCAGACCAAGTCCCATCAAGTAACAAGGCACAATAAGAAGCTTAAAAGGGGTAAGGATTAAGTTACATTTGTATGAATAAGCTCTTTTTTTGTTGTTCAGGTCTCAATCCTTAAATGATCCTATCTCGTGCGTGGAAGGTGTCTCCTCATTAAATTATACATTTAAATCCTCAGTGTGGGTCTCAGACCCAGAAAGTCCCCAGGGCTCACCAACCTTTGGAGACAAATACCTACATCAATGACTATAATTCAGAGTTTGCTGGCCCATTGTCCCCACTGGCAGGATCCTCCCCTCACCCCAACCAGGTGTTACTGAGATGCCCAGGACCCGTGTCACATGTGCAGAGGAGAAGCCTGCACATGCTGCCCGCCCATGAGCACAGAGACAGCCCCACAGTAGGCACCCTCTGTGGGGGCGCCCTTCTTGCCCCGGTGGTGTCCTCAGGTTCTCAAATCCGCAAAGCACACCACTGCCTAAAGATGCCCATCAGCTTCAGGCCTCACTGGTCAATGCCATGCTGGTTCCACAACAAAAAACTGAGAGGGCCTCTCAGTCCAGTGCCGTGTCCCACTTTGTTCCTTGGGCCTTGAAACAGCCTGATGGAGGCCCCACATTTCATAAAAATTTTTCATGAAGACATCTTCGCCCGCTTCTGCCTTCTGCTTCTCTCTCTACCTGTCTCAGATTCAGACCAAGACCCCAGGAATGGATAAACACCACTCTTCCATCACTCGAAGGGGCCCACATGTCCTCCTTCCCAGAAATATTGAAGTACCCATGTAAACTAATTCCCTGAGGACTTCCCTCCCATTTTACAAACTTGCCAAGATCTATTTGAACCTTAACATCCTGCTTTACCTTGTCTCTCACACATAGGGACCAGGTCCTGGAAATTTTTGCTTTATAAATCTTCACCCCAATGTTTCCTTCCCTTTCCTTCTCCTCTGCCTCCATCTTCATTCAAGCTCCTCTCTCTCTCTCTCTCTCTCTCTCTCTGCTCCTGGCTTACCTCAGAAGTTTGCTAACTGGAATCACTGCTCTGCTAATTCAGCCTAAAAGCTGCTCCTAAAACAATAATCCTTAGATGCCGCCTTAAACACATAAACTTTTTGCTGTAGTTTGACTTTCAATTGGCCATACAAATCAGGTACGTTACAGTGGAGAGAATGCTAGCCTTGGAATCAATCACCGTGTGTACAAATCTTCTGTGCTTGAATAATTTCCATAACTTTAATTGCTTAAAATTTAAATTTCATCATCTGTAAAGTGTGATATTAATATGTGTTTCATAGGTCTATTGTAAAAAAAAGTTAAATCACGAATACGAAGTTTTAAAAAAATGTGAACTACAAATGTAAATAATGTTATAAAAATTCAAGTGCTTCCCTTAGAACTGAAGTCCTCCATAAGCTGGCAACCACCCACTTTCCAACCTTTTCTCCAATTACTACCATTTCCAACCCTCCTGCCTGGACTCCTTTCTCTGTTTCTCATCCTTCAAATGTTTCTTTCACTTCCAGATAACACTAGTTGCTACAACAGATAAACCAAAATGTCATTGCCTTAAGATGAGAACAGTTTATTGCTTGCTCACTTAAAATCCAACACAGGTATTCCCACTTGGCATGTGGGTCTCCTCCAAGTGATCTTCAGGATCCTTCTCTCTATGGCCCCACCATCTTTAACATGTGGTTTCCAGGGTCACTTCAAAAGGAAAGAAAACATGGAGAATCGCACATGAGAGGTTCTTCTGGGTCAGGCCTGGAAGGGGCTCAGGTTAGAGTTGAGTCACAGAACGGCATCAAATGTGGGGCAGTGGCATGTCCAATAAGAAGAAGACACAGATTTGGAATACAGCCAGCAACTCTGTGCCACTAACTCAGATACACAAGTAGAGAATAGTTGCCAGAATGTGTTCCCCAAATATACCCTCCAATGACCAGTTTAGACCTCACTTCATTCATGAAATCCTTTTAGAGAAACCTAGCAGATCTCATTCTCCAAACTCAAACTCCTGACACATATTGATTATATTATCCTTTGACTGATTAGCCTCCTTTTTGTTAAATCACAAAGACATTTATCAGATCTCTTTCTTCTCAAACTCTCTGTAACATTTAAATCTGACTCTGACAGATTTAATGAATCTGTCGGAATCAAGGAATGTTGATGAGACACCTCCCCACATTGATGTCCATAATTTTGGCCCTTCTCCTGACCCCAGGGAGCTCTATGGCTGGCTCAGTTCTTTCTTCCATTGCATAACTGTGAGAGTCTCCCAAAGCAGCATTCTTCTGGCGAAAGAGGCTGGGAGGATGTGGTCTGGCCTCAGACCTCACCTCTGGTTGGAAAGAAGCTGACCCCTGCCCAGAGATCTTCCAAAGTATCTAAAACCTCTTCAGCTGTTGAGTTGCATGATGTTAACAACACAGACATAAAACATAATAGCATTTATACTTGTCAGCCAATGATCCACAGTAAGAAGTTGGTAATATTGACTATAGAAATAGTAGTAATTAAACATTTAAGGAAGTAAGGTGGGGAAGAATAGAAGATGTAAAAAATGTTTCTGTCTACTTTTTATAGTGTTCATTGGTCAGACAGTGAAGTTTATATAATGTTTTCTCCCTATCGATGGCAACATGTGTACTATCCACCCTTGTCTGTTCTTCATTGGTTTGGGGAACAAATGAGACTCTATTAGGTGAAGATAAGAGTATGATTTAGAGATGGAAAAAAATTAAGGAATTCATCAGTAATTGCTTACAGAACTTTGAAATATGAGAAAAAAAATTACCAGAATTCCAAAAACCCACCTGCAATTGTAAAATAGCCTCCAACTCCCTATCCTCTCCTTCACCCGGGAGTGAACTCAGATGCCCAGAGCTCCCGGGACCATTTGGAATTCCCTACTGTGAAATCTCTAGAGCAGCTACTCCCCCACGGCTCTGAACAGCCCCGTGGTGAAGCCTTTGGGTTCCCGGGGCAGAGCAGCGGGCTCAGCCCAACCTTTTGAAGAGACACAAGCCTCACTTCTCGTTCCGCTGGTGGCAACACGGAACGGTGTAAACGAAAGGCTCCTTCACATTTATTCATGCAGCTCAGCTCCTGGCCTGTTGACGTTCCCGAGCAGATGTGCAAGTGCCCAAAGACAATTAAATTATGATTCATGCTCCGGGACGCCTGCTAAGGCAGGCTGCCTGGCCCTGAGCGAACACCTATTTTAGCAGTAGCTGATGTTTCCCTTTGGTTGAGGACCAAGTCGGACCAGGCAGGGCTTTGAAGTTATTTCTGTCTCGGTGGATTAGAGGTATCAAAAGAAGCAGCTCCACAAACCTTTTAACAAATATTTACAATCCTGCGCTAAACAACCTCCACCGTACCTTAACCTTTACCGTCTTGTGAAATGCTTGCCAACCTCCCTGCCAAACTCCCGCGCCTGCCAGAGCGGGAGAGAGGGCCCCGGCTCGGAGGAAAGCAAGTACAAAACGGCAGGGCATCCGCGCTTTCCGCCCTGGGGGTGCACGCGGCCTGTGGGCGCTGCCCGGCCCAGGAGGGGCCTCTTCCCCGGTCCCCCCTCCCCACCTCGGAGGGGTACTGCTGTGCCCCTGCGGGAGGGTTCCCTTCTCGGCCAGGGTGGCGGGAAGTGGTGTATTCACCTCGGGGGGCGTCGTGGGACTGCCCTGAAGCCGGTTTGCAAATGTGCCTGAGGGTGGGCGCAGCCAGCCCCGGAAATACACAAGACAGGGAAGCTACAGGGAAGACGGTTGGGAGGCTGGAGGCCGGAGGCTCTGGGTTTTAGTCAGCAGAAGGCTACAACACTGCCTGTAGTTTCTAATAGGCCTCCTTCCGTGGGAACTGCTCATCCCAGAATTCTTCAGTTGCTTCCTAAATGCTCTAGGGGTTAATTAAATGGGTGACCGATGTATTTTTATTTTTTATATTTTTTTTAAATTTACTTAGGACTCCTCACGTCATAAGCACGAAAACCTCCCAACAAAAATAGATGGAGACCAAAAAGATACCTGAAGGAAGCCAGCGGGCGGGATACCACGGTGACAGTAGGGAAAGAGCAGTGGTCCAGTCCCTGGCTTATCTCCATCCCGACTTCTCCGGCGGTATCCGTGACACCACACCTGTGGAATCAGGCTGGATTTGTTAAAGGAAATTCACAGCACTGGCGAGGTGCCCCAGGTGGTTTTTATCAGCAGCAGAGGCCTCCATCAGAGAAATTAGCCAAGGCAGAGCTTTAGAGAAACTGATGGCAGCTGCTGACTTAAGAGCCACCGAGGTTTTGCAGTAAAGTCCTGTGACATGGTGCCCGCAGCCCCCCAGAACTTACCGTGAGACCCTGAAGGGACCTAGAAGAGGCCTCACAGCAGCGACAAAAGCAAGGACAGGAAGTATGCGTTATACTCTTCACAGGACCAGCAACTGTTACCTCCCGGCTGCTGTAGCCCAGGACATGCAAATTAGAAGCATGTGAGCTCAGAGGTTTACTGGCTGTGGTCATGGCCAGGCATTTAATTCATTCGTTCGTTCATTCATTCATTCAACAAATGTTTATATTTCAAGGCACTGGGTTAAGTGTCTTGTGAAACAAAAATAAACTACACGTAGATCTTGCCTCTAAAAGCTTACACTAATCACTATGGTAAATACACAAATAGCTATACTACAGGTTAGAATGGGTCATCACGTAGTCAGAGTGTGCATTGTCTCAGGTGGCAGAGAGGGACCATCTCTGTATGGGGGGAATTGGGAAAGATTTTACATGGGAGCTAAGGGTTGAGGTAAAATTAGTGCATGCAAAGGTGACGCAGAATATATTCTCAAGGAAATGCAGTGTGAGGGATGGCATTGAGAAGGGAAAGTGTGGACTCGCCTAAAAACAAAAGTTGTTCCATTTGACTGGGCAATAATGAATAGGAAAGGAAATATTGGACAAGTGGTCAGGAAAGCGGGATAGTTAGGAAATGGAGGGCAGAGTGTGCCCGCTCAGGGAGTCTGATTTTCAGGATAAAGTCATGGGAAGTCATTAAAGGTTCCTTAGCAAAAGAGTGAGTTGGTAAGATGGATACTTCAAGAAGATGTGTCTTCTTAACAGCCAAGAAAACTCTTGTACACAGGGCCAGGGTCACGACCAAACTTTGTAGTAGTTTCTATTACAGTAATACTCAGTAGCATCAACAAGCAAGGTGATCATCTGTTTTTAACCCCAAACTGTGTCCTCCTACTGCCCAGAGTACTCTTTGAGGCTACCAAATTTTCTGTGTGCTTAGGGAGTAAAAACTCATGTAAAACAAGTCTGTGCCAATTAAAATTAGAAAGATCTGCCTGCTGGAGGGAGGGGCAGGACAGAGCACAGTGAAGAGTTAATGATGATACTTAAAATGAGTCTTACCCACGATTACCAACAAGTGGCACAACCTCCAGAAGCCTTTCTGAATGCCCTACAATCTCTCCTCACCTCAAATGGATTGAGGGGACTGCTTTCACAGCCCAACATTTCCAGGTACATATTCTGAATTTACTCAGGTAACTTATAAAGTTTTTGATGTACCACCTCATTTCTGAAAATTGGTGAAAATATCTTTTTCTACGGGGTATTTTCCTTGTTAATTACATAAAAACAATGGTAATAGCACATAGACATTGGGAGTCTTATTTTTAGGCATTAAATATATGATAAACTCAATACACGTTATTTCACCCACTTTAAGAATAAGAAATGGTGGGGGGTGACCTGGGTGGTCCAGTTAAGCATCCAACTCTTGGTTTTGGCTCAGGTCATGATCTCACTGTCATGAGATACAGCCCCGCATGGGGCTCTGTGCTCAGTGTAGAACCTGCTTGAGACTCTCTCTCTCCCTTCCCCTCTGCCCCTCCCCCCTCCTCATGCTGTCTCTCTCAAAAAAAGTAATATATCTTTAAAAAAAAAGAATATGAAATGGGAACAATGGTCATCACTCTATAAGATCTAGCCAACACCTGTTGGTTTTACCCAACGTGATCATGTTTATTTATAGAAAATGCCTCCACAACTCCTACAGCAGTTAATAAATATTTGCTTTTAATTTCAGAATTGAAATAAAATATAAATAAATTGAAATAAAAATAAGAAGTTGAAAATTAAATGAAGTTGTTTCCTTTTAAAAATGTAGAAAATACATTATTGTTTTAACAAAATTAGGAAAATATATATAAACAAAGAAAAATCTTTAATCTTTTAATCCCACCAAGGACAATGACTGTTAATATTGTATATATTCTCCTACATACATATGTAAACAAAAGCATATGTGCACATTATTTTGTAGTTATATACTGTGCAATATATTGTGAATATCTTTCTAGGGGAAAATATTTAGTTATGATGTACAGTACTTGTTAATAGAGAAATAACATGTTATTGTATAAATATACCATAATTCATTTAACTTATATGTTTTTGTTTGTTTGGATTATTTCTAGCTTTTCCACTTTAAAGGCAGAACTTTTACGAGCATGTTTTCTAAATATTTGTTTACATTTGTAATCATTTCCTTGGAACAAATTTGTTTAAGTCTAATTTCTTGGTCAGAAGATAAGCACATTTTAAAAAGTTTTGATGAATACTGACAAGTTTTCCAGAAATCTTAGGCCAATTTATTTTTCTTCCTGAA